TTTCGATTTTTTCGTTTCGTCTCGTTTCGTTGTTATGTCGTTATTGTGTCCTCTTGAAACCAAGAAAACAACAGCTAAAATATTCAAAATCATTTAATGTCCTCCTTGTCGTAGTGAATGGGCTGACGTCCGATGTGTGTCTTAAAGTAAACACGATGAAGTATCGCATATCCACACACTCACAAGGCTATTGAGTATTATGTTTACACGAGAACTAGTTGTTGTTGTCAACAAGGCTAATACACGTGCCGAAATTTTTGGGCTTAGGTTTTCGAGGGAAGTTTTGGTCTTCCGGTCTTCTATAAAACAAATCATTTAAGGCATTTTTTGTCAAACGAAATCCTTTAAAAGTTTTTTATTGACCGGCGAAGAGAAGAGATCTTATTTTGGCCTGTATTGACCCTTGTAGACTTCCATTGACCATTTATGATTTTTGAAGGTCATATATTGGCTATGGATGGCTTTTCAAAGCCTTCAATAGACCATCGAATACCTTTGAAGGTCTTCTGTTGCCCATCGAAAACGTTTCCAGATCTTCTTTTGACCATGAAATGCACTTGAGGATCTTATTTTGGCCATTGGAGGCATTTGAAGGTCTTTTTATACCCTACACTACTACTATGTCTTTGTTTGTAACATCAAAAGGAAACAAGATATACCCATAGTTCCTTTTGATGAACTACAGAGAATCACGGTCTGAGTCGATTTATGAATGTCCGTCCGTCCGTTCATCTGTCTGACTGTCCATGTATTTTTGTAAACAAAGTACTGGTCGCATTTATTGCCCGATCCAAATGAAATTGTACAAAAATCATTTCTTTGGTCCAACGACGAACCCTATTGAAATTGGAGATAATCGGTCAAAATTTAGATATAGCTCCCATATATATCTACGTCCGATTTGCCTTTGTTTTCACCAAACGTGTAATATCGGCCCAAATAGTATGGAATTTTGCACATACGACTATATTTGCCTTGAAAATAAGTGTGCTAAATTTGATCGGAAACGGTTCAGATATAGCTATAACGCCCATGTATATTGTTCATCCGATTTGTTATTTTTGTTCTCCGTAGCCATAATATGCACTCTGTAACAACGATATTTGGGGATATAAATCAAATAAAGCTCAGAAATACCTTTGCTAAATGTTATCGAGATCGGTCCAGATTTGGATGCAGCTCCAATATATATCTTCGTCCGATTTGTCTATTATTGTGCTCCAAACGTGTAGTGTTATCCTAAATGGGATGTAATTTGGCACTTAAGACCATATTGAGTCTAGAAACAAGTATTTCACATTTTTTCGAAATCGGTTCAGATATAGCTATTGCTCCCAAGGTGAGATAAAAAATACTGCAACAAAGTCAAACGCCATAATTTTTAGATTTAATTGAATCAAAACACAAAATGTCGGAAATAGCATCAAATTTTAGAATATGTTTACATTTGTTCGAATTGGTCAGTTTTGACACGAATTATGGCCAATGAAACCGTCACACGCTGCCCGAATGTTGCTCTGCACTATTTTGGCCCATTCCCGGCAAAGCGCTTGCTTGAGGTCATCGACACTTTGGTATTTTTTTAATGCCAACCTTGCTTTCCAAAATAATCCAGATACAATAGTCCAACGGATTGGTATCCGGAGATTTTGGTGGCCATTGTGAAATTGAAATGAAGCGAGGAACCTCATTTTGTAACCATTCTTGGGTGGCGGCGCGTGCTGAGTGCGATGGTGCCGAGTCCTGTAGGAATGTCCAAGGTCTGCGGCCAAAATTTTTGCAAGCCCAAGGCTTTAATACACCTTTCAGAATATTTTCGGGATAATATTCGGCATTTATTCTGGTGTCACAGTCGATTAATACGAGTGGAGAGCGACCATGGGCTGTTATGGCGGCCCACACCATCACCATGGCCGGCGCTTGAGTTCTGGTGACCAACCAAAGGTGCACATTTTCAGCTGACCTGTTTGGCAAGTAAACACGATCATTTGTTCGTTTATTTGTTTACAAACTTCTGGACAACGAATGTTTTCTCAGCGGAGAAAACCAAATTTGGTAGTTCACTACTTTCGGCCAAGCGAAGCAACTCTTTAGCTCTTTTGAGTCTATTTTCTTTCTGTTGCGGTGTAAGTTGTTGCACATTTTAGAATTTCAATGGCTTTACCCCAAGCTCACTTTTCAATATTTGCCGAATGTTCAGGTCACGAGCCATTTTTCGGCCACTGCGACGCGGGTTTCGATTAAGTCGCTTCTTTACTTTTCAAACCATTTCTGCTGATGTTGCTGTTTTCTTCCGCCCATTTCCTTGACATCCGGCTACGCTACCTGCTACCAGTATCACGGTAACGAGCGATGGTACGAGACACAAAAGATTTATTCACATTTAAATGCTGGAGAGCTCTAACGTTAGCCACTTGTGGTTTTCCAGCCAAATATAAAGAAATCACACTATCACGCTTGAATTCCATCACGAATAACTTTTTTTTGAGAAATTCTTACCAAAATGCTTTCGTATGCTTGTAAACAATATAATGAGCTATCACCGGAATAATTTTAACAGCTGTCGGACGAGTGACTTGGAAATTACAGCAGTCTGAAGTTGGTTGCAGTTTTTTCATCTCAGCCTATATATTGCTCAACAGAAGATTTGGATTATTTGATCTCCTTTAAAGCTTAAAATTAATTACGGAATTGACAGACTCCTGGGGCTTGCAAGACATTTGGAACTTGAATGACTTTTTAGGGCTTGTGGAACATTATGGGGTGTGAAGAACATTATGACGCATTCGATGTTTAAGACTTGCGTTTGCTCCAACTTTGTAATCCAAAGAACTTGATTTTATCTTTTAGCGGAATTATTGATTTAATATGTTGACGCCTTAATGTGCAAAAAAAAACATATTTTAAAAGGATTTGTAAATCATCAAAATTTGGAAGACATTTTGTGCTTGGACAACATTAAGGTATGCCAAGTCATAAAGGCTTGGTTGGACTTTAAAGTCCTAAAAGATTTGGTGAACCTTGATTACCTTTTTGACTTAAAAGACATCTTTGTTTTAAAGAGTTTTAAGACTTTCGAGGTTTAGAAAGACATGTAGGGCTTGAAAAAAAACTTCAGAGCTTGAAGGGCTTGAATGACATTTTAGGCTTGACAGTCATTTATAGGTTTTAAATGCCTTTACGGTTTAGAGGTTTTGAAAAGCACTTAGGGCTTAAAAGGGCTTAGGGCTTTATAGCTTGGATTACTTGGAGGATTTAGACGATTTAAAAGACACTTAGGACTTGAAAAGACTTTAGATTTTTGACTTGGCAGCCATTTATAATTTTTAAAACCCTTTAGGTTTTTAGAGGTTTCAAAAGACACTCAGGGCTTCAAACCCCTTTGGTTTGGGGTGACTTGAAGAGCTTGAATTTCATTTTCGACATGGTATTCATTTATAGGTTTAAAAAACATTTGTTCGACTAAGTGCTTAGATAGTATTAAACAATTTCAAGTCTTTAAGGCTTGATGAGACTTGTTAGTCCTAAAAGACACATTGAACCCAAAACTCAAAAGAAAAAATATATTGAATCAGGATTTGACGAGCTTTATAACTTAGGAGACATGTTTTGCTCGGATAATATTAACACCTTTCAATTCATTTAAGCATTCCAAGTCATTAGGACTTGGTAGGGCTCCTAAGTCCTTAAAGATCTGCTGAAGCCAAAACCCCTTTAGGCTTCAGGTCTTTAGAAGTTTCGAAAGACATAAAGAGCTTGGATGACTTGAAAGGCTTGAAATACATTTTTGGCTTGATAGTCACTTACCGATTTAAAAACCTTTAATTCTTACAGATCGCTTCAAATGTAGGGTCATAAAGCTCTTGGGTCATATAAAGGACCCTTTTAAAACCTTTGCCCTTGCTTGCCAGTTGACATTGTCCTTCCCACTAATATTCATTGCAAATTTTTTGTAGGTGTACCCACCCCGCATTAAAATTTTATTTACAAACATATATTCTGCTCCTTCACATATCCATCATTTATTTACCGCCATTAACAACAATAACTACAACTGGAAAATTTCGGTCAATTATCTCATTTGGGAATAGCGAAAAAAAAAATAATACCGCCGACAACGTTTCAATGTCGCCTTACATTTGCCGCCATCGTCGTCGTCGTCCTCTACCTCCAGCTCCTCATCGTTTAAGTAAAATAGACAAATGAATGGCCGGAGGTATTTGTCTTGGCATTGTTATTATTTTATTATCCCATGTTGTCGTCATTGTTGTTGTTGTCATTCTTATTGTGGATCGTTATATATGAGTATAGTTTTGTGAGGAATTAGTGCGGACCAGCAGGCATTCCATGTCATGCCATGCCTCATTGTTGTAATGGCCAAACAAAACTGTCAATCGTTTATCCTGTTGCTTTTTTTATTATTTACTTCGATAAATCATCGAAAATTTGCCTGGCCTGCCTGGTCGGCCGGATGATTGACTGGCCTCAAAGACATTTGGCTGGAAGTAAAATGGGCTTTGGCTGGCTGGCTAGCTGGGAGGTGGAGGAGGATGTGTCAATGTATGGGTGCGGTTTTGTTTTGCCTGTTGGTCATTGGGTTATAAGTTTATCCATAAAACATATTAAATACTAATGACAAATATGTATGCTGTTAGCAGAGGGGGTAAAGGGAGGGGGAGAGGACATTTAGTTGGGTGGAGTTGAATTTGTCTGGCTTTTTTTTTTCGGCAAGAAAACGGAAGACGAATGTCAACAACAAGCTGGCTGTTGCCCGATATGGTAATAGAGGTTTATGCCTGCCAGCAACTTATTTGCAACTCATGGTGACAGTTCAACAAGTGCCAGTGCTTGAGAAAGTGTCGGAATTTTAGTTTCCTCCTTATTTTTTGGCGGAGGTGAAAAAAATTTTAATAATTTTTAGGAATATTTTTCTTTTTTTATATTTTTGAAAAATATTGAACAATAATTAGTAAATAAAAAATTCTTGTCTCTCCTTTCAGGCGTAAATGGTTGCCACAAATCGGTCGCAAAGGTCCACAGAATAAGGTTGAGAAAACACCCGAAAAACTCTTGGTTAAAAAATCGTCGGAGAAGAACTTCAAGGTAAGTTGTGGTTAAGAAAAATGTGAAAATAAAAAACATCAGTGTAGAGCGTTCTAGGAGAACTTTATTAAAAACTTCTCCTATCTATAAAAACCTGACCTTTACCAGGCCTTCCAAAAGAAAATCAGATTAATATTTTACAAAAAGAAATGTTATTTGTTCTGCAGAGAGATATTTAAGGTATTTCAAAAGAAGACCAAATTGGATATTCCTCAGGAAGACTTCAAAAAATTTTGTGGGGAAATAAGAACACGACGAAGAATTTTTTTTTCAAAACCTTGTACTCCTAAAAGAAAATTTAGGTCTGCAATATTAAGAACTCTAGTTTCTTATTAACCATTTCATTGTAAGACGATTTTGTGGGAGATTTTATTATTTTTAGGTATGAACGGCATGTATGGCTTCATTAGAGCTTGTTGGACATTTTATGACTTTAGACTAAATGTTTGAGGGCTAACCTCTTTATTTGTTGGTATTCAATTGAAAGGATCTTGAAGGTTAGAAGAAAATTAGTAATTAATGTCCTCAACCACTTCCTTGGAGGGCAATTTTGTGGGAGATTTTTTTTTTTTTGATATTTTTAGGCTTAGAAGACATTTATGGCTTGATTAAGGCTTGTTAGAAAATTTCTGACTTCAGACCAAATTTTTGAGGGCTTATATCGAGACACTTTGGAATTCAATTGAAATAATCATGGGATTCGGAAGACAAGTAATACTCGACATTATTTTTAAAATTTTTCAGGGCTTGGGTCGCCTTTAAACCTAATCGACTTGAAGGCTTGAGATGCATTGAGGGCTTGTTAGTATTGCATAAAATCCAGACTTCAAAAAGAAAGCATTTCGTAATACGCCAGAAGAAAAGAACTACTCTTTAGAATTACCCCAGAAAGACATGGGCAAAGATGGTATTTATGGCTTGTTAGACATTAAATGATTTGAAGACTTGTAAGGCTTGTAAGACTTAAATGGCTTGAGAGAATGCAAAGAGATTGGAAGCACTTTTTGATTAAACCATTACCTTGCAGGACCTTTTTTGGGGAGATTTTTATGTGATTTTCCGGCTTGAAAGACATTTATGGCTTTATGGGGCCTTGTAGGACATTTCATGTTTTGTCAAATGAAGTTCTCGTAAAAGACCTCAACCTAATAAGACAGTAGAATTTAGAACTTCTAAGACTTCAAAGGCTTGAAAGACATCTAGGGTTTGGCAGACATTTTAGGCTAAGATTAACTTTAAGATCTTGAATGATGAATGAAGGAATTAAGGGGAGAACATATTTTTGATTTTACTAGACCCTTTGAATGTTTATGTGAATATATTTAAAGCTGGGTAGGGCTACGGGCTTGTATGACTTCTAGGGCTTGAAAGAATGTAAAATGCCTTGAAATGTTTTTAATGCTTGCAGAGCATTTAGTGCTTGGAAGCTCCCATAGAACTTGGATGGGCTGAATATCTTGAAAATATTTTTAGGGCTAAGATGAACTCCAAGCCTTTGCATAAACTTGAGAAGACAGCAGAATTTATGGCTTATTAGACATAAAATGAAGACCTTTAGGGCTTGAAAGGCATTGGAAGACTTTTCTGACTTGGATCATCCGAAGACCTTGAAAATTCCTTTAAGGCTAAGATGAACTTTAAAATCTTGCACAAATTTAAGAAGTCAGAAAGAATCCAAGCACCTTGAAATACTTTTACAGCTTGGAAGACATTTAGGGATTGAATGACATTTGAAAAACCCCATAGAACTTGGATGAGCTGAAGATCTTGAAAATATTTTTAGGGCTAAGATGAACTTCAAGCCTTTGCATAAACTTGAGAAGACAGCAGAATTTATGGCTTATTAGATATAAAATGAAGACCTTTAGGGCTTGAAAAATATCAAAGACTTTGGAAGATTTTTAAGGCTTGGAGGACCTGAAGACCTTGAAAATTCTTTTAGGGCTAAGATGAGCTTTAAGATCTTGCACAAATTTAAGAAATCAGAAAGAATGAAGACTCCTTGAAGTACTTTTAAAGCTTGTGAAGACATTTAGGGCTTGAATGGCATTTAGTGCTTGAATACCCCTTAGAACTTGGCTGAAGAACTTGAATATATTTTTAGGGCTAAGAAGAACTTTAAGACTTGGCATAAACTTAAGAAAAGAAAAGAATTTATGGCTTATTAGACATGAAATGAAAACCTTTAGGGCTTGAAAGAACTCAAAGGCTTGGATGACCTGAAGATCTAGGGCTAAGATGAACTTTAAGATCTTGCACAAATTTAAGAAGTCAGCAGAATGAATTAAAGATTTCAGAAAAAATACAAGCGCTTTGAAGTACTTTAAAGGCTTGAAAGACATTTAGGGCTTGGAAGGCATTGTAAATTTTTTTTGGGCTAGGAGGAAGTTTAAAAATTAAACGGGGAATAAAATTTAAGGATTTGTAGATTCTTAATAATTTAAAGAACTTTGGGGCTTGGCAGGATTTTAAAAAATAAAGGCTTGTAAGACATTAAGCCAAGTCTTTCCCTTTTAAGAAACGTGGATCTTAAAGACCTTGAAGTTCCTACAAAACATTTTATTCTTCTAAGATCCTTTGAGAGTATATGCAGGCCATTCTAGACAAATTTCAAGGGTTTTTAAGTCGTCGAAAATTTCAAGATTTTTGGGGCTGGTATGCCTTGGAAAAAAGTAAGGCTTGTAAGACATTAAACCATGTCTTTCGGAACTTTCCAAGACACTTGGGCCACAAAGACCTCGAAGTTCCTATAAAACATTTTAGGCTTCTAAGATCCTTCTAGACACATTTCAAGGGTTTGAAAATCTTTAGGGCTTGATATGCCTTGGAAAAATAAGACTTGTAAGACATTAAACCATGTCTTTCGGAACTTTCGAAGAAACTTGGATCTTAAAGACCTTGAAGTTCCTATAAAACATTTTAGGCTTCTAAGATCCTTTGATTTACAGGTTCTTCAAGACAAATTTCAAGGGTTTGTAAGTCGTCAAAAATTTAAACATACTTTGGGCTTATTTTGCCTTGGAAAAAAAAATAAGGCTTGTAAGACATTAAACCATGTCTTTCAGAACATTCTAAGAAACTTGGATCTTAAAGACCTTAGGATTCTAAGATCCTTTGACAGTATTTACAGGCATTTCTAGACAAATATAAAGGCTTTGTAGACAATATTTTTTAGGGATTCTAAATATATATGTGGGCTTCTAAAGACCTAAAGTACCTAGTATTACATGATCAATATTTGATCTTCTTAAGACCCTTGGCAAATTCTAAAAATTTGTGTGACTTTCTACAGTCCTTTAGTGGATAACCTTCTCAGCTCATTGACGTTTTTCTACATCTCTTAGGATGATCCTAAGACCTCTAAGGATCCTTAAAGTTCTCCAAAGATCTCAAGAGTCTTCTGATGATTTGTAGTCGTCTAAAAGATGGTTTTGGGAAAAATTGGTTCGTCGTTTTAAAAGTTTTAAAACCCTTTGATGTTGTTTAGGACCTCGAAGGATCTTTCGGACCCTAAGGCCTTAAAGAGTGCTTTAATATCTTTTCATGGCTTCAAGGTATTCTTGAAGGCTTTGGGGGTTCTTTAAAGTATTTTTGAGTCCTTTAAATACTTTTATGAATACCTCCAGGTATAAATACCAGTGGAGATCCCGAATGGACAATTTTGGGCTCTCCACGTCTCTCAGGTCTTTAAAAATTCTTAAGGATTCTCAATCAACGCAAATGGGCTTTGGAGGTTACTTTTTTTAAATATATTTAATAACCAATTTATTCTAACAAGATTTTTAATCAAAATACTCACAATCTATCTTTTTTCTCTTCCAGTTGCCAGCCAAACAAATGGAGGACTCATCCAACAACACATCACAATTGCTGGCCCAGGCAAATGCATCACAACTCAACACATCACAGCAGGACTTTGAGGCCGAGGAAGAGGTTGGCTTGGAATTACCGCCACCCATGAAACCCATACAGGAACCACATTTAATTGCCAATGGGCCACCGACCTTCAACAAGGATATGATGAAGGATAATTCTTCGGTAATGGTGAGTACAAGATTTACAAATATTTATGTCATGAAATGAAAGAGGAGTAGATTTTTTAATCCTTATACTGGAGAACAACAAAAAAATAAACTACTTCTTAAACAAATGTTGACAGGAAAGAGATTTTTAATCCGCACCGAGTGGATTTTTGTTCTCGGTTTCGATTAAAATATGAATGACACTTCTCATCCGAACGAAGAGACCTTTTTGTGTTGTGAACAGGATATGAAGGCATAAACAAATCCTTAAACAAAAAAATAATTCTCAGAAATGCAATTTACAAAGGAGCCAATTGCAAAACTACTCAGAAGAGAGATGCAAGGATGTGGGTGACGTTTTTATTTTTAATAATAAAAAACGCATTTTTTTCTATTAACAAAAGACAACAATGAAAGCTCCGTAGAATTTTCAACCAATTATTTTTTTAGAATCTGTTGGAAATTCTATAAAGCTTTCATTGTTGTTTTTTATTAAAAGAAAAATTCTACGCTTTGAGGGAAAAAATATATTTAATGATGTATTTTACAAGCTTCTTTTGCCATCTCCTTCCTCTCACTCTCTCTATTGTGTTCATCACAACGCACAATTGAATTTAAGACCTTCAAAGGAATTCTATTAACACAAGGAAGCTCTTCCCCCTCCTTCGATGTCAATAGGTTTTTTCTTATGCATGAGTGATTTATTTTTTTGCAGGATAATTTCTTTGCTCATTAAGGATATTTTGTCAATAAAAAAGACGTATTTTTTGCATTTATTTTTGGACTTAGAAATATTCAAATGGAATTTCAATAAATTAGGAGGGGGATTAAATGGAAAGTTCTTCAATGAAATAACTAAAAAAAATTGTCTATCAATTGGAACGTCTCTTTAAGATTTTTTTTCTCAAGGACTATCAGATCCTTAAATAACACTCCTCTTGATTCTTTAGGGAATTAAAAAAAATTAAATCCGATCTTTTGTTTGTGTTCAGCTTTAAAGATCAAAATTTAGCTTTAAAGATCCTTGAAAAAAAGGTCCTTCTGCAAAAGTTTAAGTTTAAAGATCCTTGAGAAAAAAATAACAAGTAAAAAAGCAGTATGTTCGACCGGGACAAACTTTGAATACCCTCCAGCATTTGGATCGAACTTGGAAATTTTTCAAAAAGAAAAGAAGTAAAATCCCTTAAAATTTCTGTTAAAATCTTAAAAATACCGAATATAGCCGTTATATTGGGGTCTATACGAAAACGTGCACCTGCATAGACAACTCTGGTCATCGGCCATTACAATATTCAAATACGAAACTTAAAAAAATCCGGTGAATGATGTAGCTAAAATCATCAAAATACCGAATATAGAGAGGTACCATTCTATGGGGGCTATACGAGGACCTGGACCTGCATAGACAATATTCTGTCCAAGGCTGTAGTACCTATTGGGAACTTCAAATGCGAAATCGCAAACAATTTCGGTGAATTTTGTACCTAAAATCGTCAAAATACCGAATATAGGGAGGTACTGATATGTGGGGGCTATGCGAAGACGTGGACTTGTACAGACAATTTTCTGTCATAGGCTATAGTATCCATTACGAATTTAAAATACCAAATTTGAAGCACTTTCGGCGAATAATGTCGCTAAAATCATCTAAATGCCGAAAGTGCCGTTATATGAGGGCTATAGACATAGACAATTTTCTATCACAGGCGGTAGTACCTGTTAGGTACTTCAAATGCGAAATTTTAAACAACTCCGGTGAGTAATGTCAGTAGAGCCATCAAAATACCGAATATCAGGGGGTACCGTTGTATGGGGGCTATACGATATCGTCAACTTATATAGGGGTAAAGTATTCAGAAGGAACTCCGAACCGACACAGAAAAAATTAGAAAAACCCATAAGACAATTTTGTGGGAGGTTTTTTTGATATTTTTGGGCTTGAAAGACATTTTTGGCTAGATTGAGGGTTGTTAGGTCTTTATAGACCAGCCTGAAGTGGTCTTTATAGATCAGCCGGAGGTGGTCTTTATAGACCAGCCGGAGGTGGTGTTTATATACCAGTCGGAGGTAGTCTTTATAGACCAGTCGGAGGTAGTCTTTATAGACCAGCCGGAGGTGGTCTTTATAGACCAGCCGGAGGTAGACCAGTTGGTCTGTAGGCGGTCTTTATAAGCAAGCTGGTCTATAGGGGGTCTTTGTAGGCCAGCTGGTCTATAGAGGGTCTTTGTAGGCCAACTGTTCTATAGGGGGTCTTCGTAGGCCAGCTGGTCTATAGCTTGTCTTAATATACCGGCTGGCTTACACGCGGTCTTTATAGATCAGCTGGTCTATGGGCGGTCTTTATAGGCCACGACTCCGGTGAATAATGTTGCTGAAATTATGAAAATACCGACTATCGGGAGGTACCGTCTGCACAGACAATCTTCTGTCCTAGGTTGTAGTAGGCCAGTTGGTCTATAATCGGTGTTTATAGGTTAGTTGGTCCTTAGACGGTCTTCGTAGGCTAGCTGGTCTATAGACAGTTTTTATATACCGGCTGGCTTACAGGCGGTCTTGTCTATGGGCGCTTCTTATAAGCCAGCTGGTCTGTAAGCGGTCTTTATAGGCCAGCTGGTCTATGGGCTGTTTTTATAGGCCAGCCGTTCTATAAGCGGTCTTCATAGGCCAGCTGGTCTGTAGGCGGTCTTTATAGGCCAGCTGGTCTCTAGGCGGCATTTATAGGCCAGCTGGTCTGTAGGCGGTCTTTATAGGCCAGCTGGTCTATAGGAGGTCTTTATAGGCCAGCTGGTCTATAGGAGATCTTTGTAGTCCAGCTGGTCTATAGGAGGTCTTTGTAGTCCAGCTGGTCTATAGGCGGCCTTCGTAGGCCAGCCTGTCTATAGGCGGTCTTTAAAGATCGGCTGGTCTATAGGGGGTCTTTGTAGGCCAGCTGGTCTCTAGGCGGTCTTTATAGGCCAGCTGGTCTATAGGCGATCTTTATAGACCAGCTGGTCTATGAACGCTTCTTATAGGCCAGCTGGCCTATGGGAGCTTCTTTTAGGCCAGCTTGTCTATGGGCGGTCTTTACAGGCCAGCTGGTCTATAAGCGATCATTATGGGATATCAGATCTATAGACAGTCTTTATAGACTAGCTGGTCCATAGGCGGTCCTTATCGACCACCTGGTCTATAGGGGCACTTAATAGCAGATCTCTATTTGGTCTTTATAGACCATCTGGTCCGTCCCCAAAGAAAAAAAAATACTTTCCCCGAATCAGGGTAACAATAAAAAAAATTTAAAAAAAAATCCGAAAGTTTTTACTAAGCTATAGTTGTTTCCATATGTTTGTAGAATTCAATTTTTAGCTTCAGAAAAAAAAATTGGTCTTCAAATAAAAGTCCTTTTTAAAAATCCCCCATTGAACTCTTCAACCACATACTTCATTAATCTTATTCTAAATTCACGCATGGGATTCCCCTCTACAAATCTGCCAGACAATATACAAATGCCCTGATTATGAGATTATATACATACAGAGAGATTGGACAAACACACGTGAATAAAATATATAGTTATTTTATTCATAAAAACAACACTTACAACAACAACTAAAACCTTGTGAATTTTAATAATTTTTGGCGTATTTTTAGATAATTGAAAAAATCTCAAATCGAAAGAGAGAGAGAGAGAGAAGAGGCGTTTTGATTTAAAAACAAAAAATATCTGATAGACAAACAGATAGACAGACAGACATTGAAGTCATGGCATTCAAAATAATGATGTGCTGATGTGAACAAGGTGGGGGGGGGGTGTGATGTGATGAGGGAAGAGGGTGGTGATACGAGGGGGCGGGAGAAATATTCTAAATTGATGCTATCCAATATTAGACAACAATGTTCAAAGCACGCAAATACAGCACGCAAATACAGCACACAAATAGAAACGTCATTGTTACAGAGGCGAACACGAGGGGAGGTGGGATTTAGGGGCCAACCTACAAAGAGGCCTCCTAAGAGGTTCTATTTTTATACCTTCAGCCATATGGCTACAGAGGGTATATATCATTTGATACGGCCAAAAGTTGCCTCATCGAAATAACGGGGTCTCTTTGGACCAAATCCGCTTCAGGACATTTCGAGTCGATCTAGCGATGGCCGTCCGTGCGCATGATAACTTTCGAAGGGAGTAACCGATTTGATCCAAACTTGGTACATTGTAATATTTTTGTCAAACTTAGATTGAGTTCGGAGATGGGCAATATCGGTCCACTCCTTCTGGTAACTCCCCCACAAAATGTCAACATTTTCAAAAAAATAATTTACTGCACAGAAAGAGAAAGGATAACCTGATTTTGCTGCAACTTTGCAAATCCTAATATTTGCGTCAGTGCTAGGTCAGGAGCGAAAATGGACAATATCGGCCCACTCCATGAAGTACCTCCCCAAAAAAGGGTCAAATTTTTGAATAATTATAACTCTTATAAAATGTGATGTAAGTGTCCGACTCTCTTCAAATTACACACATCACAATATTTTTATTAACCCAAGGTCTGTAAAGATGGAATATATCGGTCCACTCATTTTGGTACATCACCCACAAAGGTTCAAAATTGTGAATATCCAGGAAGCCCATAAAACACGAAATAAACATCCGATTCCATTCAGACATCGGCACATCTCAATATTTCCATCTACCAAAGAACTGTTAAAAAGTTGGCAGGAATCCGACAATTTCTTCTGGTACCTCCACCACTAAGGGTCAACATTTTAAATAACCAAAACGATCATAAAATCCGAAATAAGCATACGGTTCTCTTCATATTCCTTACATCGCAATATTTTTATTAACCCAAGGCCTGGTGTGAAGATGGAATATATATCATAAAACCCGAAATTAACATCCGATTCCATTCAGACATCGGCAAATCTCAATATTTCCATCAACACAAGATGTGTTATAAATATGGTAGAGATCAGACCATTCCTTCTGGTGCCTCCCCCGTAAAGGGTGAAAGTTTGGAATAACGAAAACGATCATAAAAT